TTTTTCAAAATGCTGACACGCCGAGCTCAAAAGGTTCGCTATCACTGGTCTAGGCCAATCCATCTGCATTTCTCACACAGAGGACTGTCCACATGAACACCCTTCTATTGTTGGCCTTGACCATGGCCTTTGGTAAGAGTGAACCCTGACCTCTCGCCACAAGAGAGCAACCCAAGATGAAAGCACCCTTAGCCCCAGCTTTCCTTCCCATTTCCACAGAGCCCTCCCTCAGTGGGTGAGAGAGAGGCCCTAGTGGGAGGGGGAGTAGCAGAGAGGGGCAGAGGAGGAGGGCACAGGGACCCAGGTCCCATCACCAGGCAATGTCTTTCCAGGCCTGCTGCAGACCCACGGGAGTTTGCAGAATCTCAGCGAAATGATTCGGTTGGCGACAGGAAAGATTGCTGTGTGGGGTTATGGCTTCTATGGTTGCTACTGTGGCGTGGGCGGCCGAGGATCCCCCTTGGATGCAACAGATTGGTGAGACAACCCCAGCCCTCCCTCCCTCTGCCCATTCGTGGCCCCCGCAGGGCTGGGAGCTGCCAGGCAGGGCTGGTGCCCATCGTCACAGAACCCCAGGAGGACCCAGCTGGAAAAGCAGCCAGCATGTTGGAAACTCCGCTCTAGTCCATTGCAAGGTCATTGGGTCTCTGCCCAGGGTCAAGGGGCAAGACCACGGGGGACCAGGCTCTTTGGAGCTGTGGGGAAGCAGCCCCAATCACATCTCCTCGCCGCAGGTGCTGCGCCGAACATGACTGTTGCTACGAACATCTGGAGAAGTGGGGATGTGGCACCAAGTCAGTGAACTACAACTCTACTTACGAAAAGGGCCAAATCATCTGTGGTAAGGACGTCCTACAATTTCACCCTGTTTCCTTGGTTTCTCTTACTGAGTGTCCGCTGTGCTGGGCACTGTGCTGAGCACCAGAGATAGAAATACAAAGGGGCACCGTGGCCTGTTTGACTCAGTGGATAAAGCATCGGCCATGGATTCAATTCCAGCAGCACGTACCTCTGTTGCAAGCTCGACACCCAACCCCCAGTTGGGTGCGTGCACGAGGCAACCAATCGATGTGTCTCTTTCACAGATGTGTCTCTTTCACATCAATGTTTCTCTCTGTGTGTGTCTCTCCCCCTCCCTTCCACTCTCCCTAAAAATCAATGGGAAAATGTCCTCAGGTGATGAATAACAACAACAACAAAAAGAGGAAGAAATACAAAGGGACAGTGTCCCTGCCTCAGGGAGCTCATAGGTGAGTGGGAAGTAAAGACAAGGAGAACACTAGATGGGAGACTCCAATAGGCAGGAAGCCAAAGGGCAGGGCCCTGAGCATAAGCTGTGGTCCAGGCTGGCTCCTGACAGCCAAGCTGAGTCTTTAAGGCTCAGCTGGCGGCGGGGGGTGGGGGTGAGGGGGTGCCTGCACATCCTTAAAGACTCAGCTTGGATATCAGGAGTCAGCCTTTTCCCCACCCTTCTGCTCCCGGACCTTGGCCATGGGATGCCAAGACGCCTGGTGCCACTCCAACATCATGGTCTTACCCCATAGAAGAGGCCTTCCTACAAGAGGGCTCAGCAGGGTCAGAGGGCCCAAGGGAACTGGGACAGTTCTGAGAGCCTGAAGGAGAGGGAGTGGTGAGAGATGAGGCTGAAGGAACGGGAGGGGCCAGGCCAAACCTAAGGCCAACTGTATTTAGATTTTGTCCTAGAGCAGTGGGGAGCTCTTGAGCAAAGGAGTGGCATGAACAGATTTGCATTTCTGAGGATTCCCCCAAGGTGGGTGGAGATGGATGGGATTGGGAGGCGGGGGCAGCAGTGGGAAGACCATTGCCATTGGACATATGACAATGGTAGTCTTGATGCGAGGGCTGAGAGTGTCATTTCAGGTAGAATCAGCAGAGCTTGGTGATTGCCTGGGTAGCGGGATAGGGAGCTGTTGGGTGGGTATCCGATCCCGTGGATAGAACAGGACATGGCCCTGGTGGGTGAAGGGAGGAGGAGTTGTATGTAGACATGTTTAAGAGGCTCCCAGAACACCCAGGGAGACGCGAAGCAGGCGGCTGGATATAGGGACGGGCAGCTCCAGGGAGGGGTCTGGATGGGGCACGGGTTCAGGAGTCACAGCAGAGAGCTGAGTGGGATATGCTCGCCCATTTGATGTCTAAAGGCCCAGACAGGAGAGAGAGGAGGGCCTGTCAGAGAGGGAGAGGAGACTGAGAGAGAAGGTCAAGGAGTGGACAGCAGCCAATTTAACACGAAGTCTTCAGGATAAGGGCTGACAGGCTCCTCGGATTTAGAGGCAGGAAGACCCCTGAGGACCTCACTGGGGCTGTTGCCATGGATCTGTAAGGGCAAATCCAGATTGGGGGGGCCGGGCGGGGAGAGAGTGAGTGGGACATGAAGCCAAGATATCCTGGGGCACGATTGGCTCTGAAGGGGAGGAGAGAGCTGGGTGGTCAATGGAAGGGTTTGCCCAGTGGCCCCAGACAGCAGACCCGCTGCTGGGATTTTGAGAAAGTATCGCCTCTTCCCCAACACCCTGAGCTCTTTAAGATCAGAAATGGGGTCTCCCTGTCATGACCTCTCCACAGGGCCCTGTATCTTAGCAGGATTTGGGTCGTAAGGAACGGGATGCCCAACCACAAGAGGCTTGGGTAATGGGGAAGTCTGACTGGTCTGGCAGAGGGCAGTGCCGGGAGGGGGAGGGCGGAGGGCAGCTGCTCAACCGTGTGGTCAGAGACCCAGCCTTTTCTCCACCTTCTGCTCCCAGACCTTGGCCATGGGATGGCACGACGCCTGGTGCCACTCCAACCTCATGGCCTTACCCCATAGAAGAGGCTTTCCCCTTGTACGTTTCTATTTTGGGGAGGAAATGAATCCTTCCCACAGCCCCCAGGAGACTTCCCCTGTGGCTCATTGGCCAGAACAAGGTCACATGCTCCCAGAGACCAATCATTGAAAGGAAAAAAGAGGAGCATGACTGGTTTACACCAATCACAACCCATTCCCAAGCCCTAGGCTAGGGCCTGGGGTTTGCACCTGGACACACCTGTTGGGAAGAAGAAAGCGTCTCCCAGTGCTTGGGGGCGGGCGTCCCCGTCAGACTGGTCGCCCGCTCCCCGGGGGCAGGAGCTCTGTCTTCCCATCGGAAGGACCCGGAGCCTAGGTGCTTGCCCGGACTAGACGCGTCTGGAGGACAGGGGCCATCGAACATTCCCAAACCCTCAGCCAGGTTTATTTTCTTGTGATTCCAGGGGATCAGGATTACTGTCGCAGGCAGGTGTGTGAATGTGATAAAGCAGCTGCCTCCTGTTTTGCGAGAAACCTGAACACCTACAATAAAGAGTACCAATTCTACAACAACTGGAACTGCCAACTGGGAAAACTCCAGTGCTGAGGTCCCGCCCCCGGAAGCCTCGCCTCCCGCCTCCCACGCTGAGCTTCCCTCTCTGGCCCCCACCCCTCCCCGCCCTGGCTCGTTCCTGGCAAAGAAGGAAACACCCCTCTCCCATCCCAGAGACAAGCCAGGAGCCCCTTGACCCCCAGAGAGAAGCCTTCCTTCCAGAATGAGAAGCCCCGGGGCATGTGGCCTGGCGCCTTTCCCCTCTTCCTTGGGAGGCAGGAGATGTCCCGTCCACACTGCTCTCCAAGTCCTGCTTCCTGCTTAGCTGTGGCGGCTACATTCCCAGGGTCTCCTCTAAATAAAGCAATTAGTTCATTGGCAAACTTTGTACGTGTATGCGTGCGCGCACGCGCATGTGAGTGTGTGCGTATGTGTGTGTGTGTGCGTGTGAGTTAGTGTATATGAGACTGTATGGGTGTGTGTGTGAGTGTGTATGCGTATGTGGGTGAGTGTGTGTATGTATGAGTGTGAGAGTGTATGAGTGTGAGGGTGGGTGTGAGGGTGTGTATGGGGGGGTGAGAGGGTGTGTGAGTGTGAATGTGTGTGAGAATGTGTGTATGGGTGTGTGTGTGTATGTGTGCATGTGAGTGTGTATGTATGTGTGAGTGTGTGCGAGTGTGTGTGTGTGTGTGTCTGCCTGCCTTGGTGTGAGAACAAACCGGTACAAGGCGATGTAGTGTAAGGGGTTATAAATACAGACTCGAGTCAGACTGGCTGTCACATCCACCAGGCGCCATCTCGCTGAGCCTCTCTCCCCTCGTGTCATTGGCGATAGCTTTGGGCTTATTGGAGAAGTGGGAGCGGTACCAGCACCAGTGAGACCCAGCTGTGGCTGCTCCTTCCCTTGGGCTAGAGCAGCTCCTGCCGGCCTGTTGGGGGAACACAGAGCCTCGGTCTTGATGTTTGGGGAGCTATGATTCGCACCTCCACGAGCAATATTCTCCTGTGTGTCCGGCCCGGGGGAGGCGGGTGCAGGTGTTGCTGGCCAGCAGCTGGATCCCAGGGCGCTATCCCCTCACCGGGGCCGGCTTCCTGGGCTGCCAGTCCCGCAGGCCCGTGCTCGGAAGGGCATCGCACCTCGTTGCATGCTGTGTCCCAGCCACCTTGAAATTCAGAATAACCGAGGGCAGTGATGGCGAACCTTTTGAGCTCAGCGTGTCAGCATTTTGAAAAACCCTAACTTAACTCTGGTGCCCTGTCACATATAGAAATTTTTTTATATTTGCAACCATAGTAAAACAAAGACTTATATTTTTGATATTTATTTTATACTAGAGGCCCGGTGCACAAAAATTTGTGCACTCGGGGGTGAGGGGGGTCCCTCAGCCCGGCCTGTGCCCTCTCGCAGTCTGGGACCCCTCGGGAGATAACGACTTGCTGGCTTAGGCCCGCTCCCAGGTGGCAGAGGGCAGGCCCAATCCCTAGGTACAGCCCCTGGTCAGGCTCAGAGCAGGGCCGATTGGGGAGTTGGGGCGCCGTCCCTTGTCATGCACAGAGCAGGGTGGATTGGGAGGTTGCGATGCAACCCTCAGTCACGCTCAGGGTAGGGCCGATTGGGGGGTTGGGGCACCGCTCCCTGTCACACTCAAGGCAGGGTCGATGGGGAGGTTGCGGCGTCACCCCCTGTCACTCACAGAGCAGGGCCCATCAGGGGGTTGGGGAGCTCCCCCCTGTCACGCACAGAGCAGGGCCCATCAGGGGGTTGAGGAGCTCCCCCCTGTCACTCACAGAGTAGGGCCAATAGGGGAGTGGGGCACCACCCCCTGTCACACACAGAGCAGGGTGGACCAGGGTTTGGGGCGCCACCCTCTATCACCCACAGAGCAAGGACGATCAGGGGGTTGGGGCGCCGCCACCTGTCACAATCAGGGCAGGGCAAACGGGGAGGTTATGGCTCTACCCCATC